CACACACACACACACACACACACACGTCAGAGGACAACTTCCTTTGACTCTGAGTCCCAGAGGTCACTTAGGTTGTCAGGCTTTGGCAGAAGTGCCCTTCCCCGCTGAGCTTTCTCACTGGGCAGTCACTAAGCATTCCTTATAAAGAGGGATGCTTTTTATAATTTTCTAGTGCACCACATATACAAGGCTCTCCTACAAGGGGCTCAAAAAAGTACCTTAGTTTTCATTCTTTGGAGATCTGGAAGTAGTCTTGACCTGTCTTTTTTCTAAGAGTAGAAATAGAAGCAAAATAACTCGAAAGCTAAGTCTATTTCAGGAAAGACTCAGCTGTTGGACAACTCTTTATAAAAGAGGATCTAACTAGGCAGTCTCATCAGCTTGGGTTTTTACCTGGATTTTTAGTTATTTGGAACTGTTGTTTATAGGGAAGTATTTCTCATGTTAAAACTTGCCAGAGGCCTACAGACAAAATTAAGTTTAGTGACTAAAATATATCCTTTTATTGTGGTCTTGTGGAAGACTTCTGAAAATTCTAAATGGCAGTGTTGTGATATCCCACCCTTCCTTCTGCACTGGGCCAGATTACACTCTACCTTCTTTTCACATGAGCCGGGCCATGGGTACCATCAGACATTGGTAGTTATTTATCGTACAGAACGTGTCTTTGGCAGGTGAAACAGAAGGAAAAGGGGTCACGTGTGGCTGGAGAAGGGAAGGAGTTCATTGGAGGGACGTACTGCTGCTCAGGGAATGCTACCACAGTGAGCACAGGCCTACAAGGGCAAGATGCTTGTTTCTAATGGGTTGTGGGTTATCCAAGTTCCTTTTTAATAATTGTTTGTTTGTTTGCACATAAGGAGATCCCAGATCCCACAAAGTATTTTGTCACACGGTGGAGCACCGAGCCATGGATCCAGATGGCGTATAGTTTTGTGAAGACCTTTGGAAGTGGCGAGGCCTATGACATTATTGCTGAAGAAATACAAGGAACTGTCTTTTTTGCTGGTGAGGTACATGTCTTGACACCAAGCCCAATTCTCCTTTTTATTTACAGTTAGAAAGGTATCAGCTGTCTTAAAACCCAAATCAGGTATGCTTAAAGGCATTGTGACACTAAATGGCACAAGCCATCTCCATTCTGAAAGCCTGCCTCGTATTCTTGTTAGAACAGTTTTTAACTGACTGGTTTCCTATGCACAGATCTTTCTCGTAGACTTATCTTCCTGTATTACAATATTTATATGACATTGTATGATCTAGTATAAGATTCGGCCTGCTTTGTTGTAAAAGTGTAGCCTGTTTTATCTCTGTACCATTTTTTTAAAAAGATTTATTAAGTATACAGCATTCTGCCTGTGTGTACACACGCAGGCCAGAAGAGGGCACCAGATGTTACTATAGGAGGGATGTCAGCCACCATGTGGTTGCTGAGAACTGAACTCAGGACCGCTGGAAAGCCAGTGCTCTTAATCTCTGAGCCATCTCTCCAGCCCCTCTGCACCATTCTTTTAATGCAACTATTTTTCTTAGTTGGTATCTGTGCTGTGATCAGCTCCCTCTCACTCTGTAGTCCAGGCTGGTTTTAACAATCATCCTGCTCCAGACCCTGGAAAGAGATTACAGGTGTGAATCAACACTTGGTTGGTATGTTTTGGACTGTACTGTACAATGTAATGTTTATTCATAGCTGGTGTCTGTCTCCTCTACCCCTCAGTCATCTCTAATGCACAGTTCATTCAGATCTCCCTCTCCTAGCTTCCATATTAATTTGAAACCCTGGAGTCCTTGTACTGCTGTTCACTGACATGAGATTACAGGTGGACCAGTTTTTCAGTTCTGTAATTTACCTCTGATCACGTTTTCATTTTTTTTCCTCTATCCTTAAATCTTTAGTTGACCTCCGTCAACTGTTTTTCTTGTCTGTAACCTTTCCATTCTGACATGAGAATTTTCTTGGTTTTTGTTTTTGCCATCCCATTCTGACTTCACCCTTGTCTGATTAGTTATTCAGGCCTTTGAAAGATGTTTTCCTTGCAGTTGAAGCACTCTTGAAAAGTCTTTTGACAGCTCTAGCAGGACATCACTGTTAGGGAACCTTTACTTTTTGTAGTAGCTTTGCTTCTGAAGATTTCTGGATGTAGGCTCATTGATAATTATGAAGAGTACTTTTTATTTCACATGACATGTGATATTTTTTCTGGGGAGATGGGCACGTTTGAGGGGTGTGTACTAGAGCTCAACTTCAAGTGCCAGTCCCCTGGAGCTTATCCACCTTAGGTTTTTTTGTTGTTTGTTTTTGTTTTGAGAAAGGGTTTCATATACCTGGAGTTTACGAAGTAGACTAGGCTAGCTGGGCAGAAAACATATTCTAGGGTGCATGTTGGTACCACTATACCAAGCTGCATGAGTTCTGAGGATCAAGTGTAGTTCTTTGTGCTTTTGAAGTACTTTATCAGTGAGAGGGGTAGCAACATTTGGTACCTGGACCCAAGCTCTTTGCCGCTAGGCTTCCTCTACTCAAGCCCTAAAGGCTGAAATTCTCTGAGGAATCTTAGCATAGGTTTGCCTTTCCTTAGCTCCCATCCTCCCTTCCAATGTCAGGTCATCTGTATTTCAAGTCTAATACCTGTGGTTATACTATATATATTGTAATTTGGGATCACAAGTTGTTTTATCAGAAAGTTAGGGTTTGTTGTCTGTGACTTTTTACAAAAATACATCTTAAAGAACCAGCTGTGCAGGTCGGGCATAGTGGCCAATACACCATTGGCTTGCCTTTAGAAATGGCAGTTTTAGGCTCCAATAGGATTTAGAACCCTTTCTTGATTTCTTTGGGTAGTTAATTCTCATGCTGTTCTAAACATCCTGAGGCTTGTGTGATCCACTTCCTCCCCATTACTTACCTTCTCGATGTCCTAGACAGTGTTTATGAATACTACAGTTCTTGGCATGTTGTAAAAGGTGGGAATTCAACAAGCATAACAAAAAGCAGCAGAGACTCAAAGACTGTCATGAATGCACAAATCTCTTTTGAGGTGGACCAGAAAAAGTCCACCTTTGGATAACTTTTTGATGTCTTCTAAATTCTTTACAATCTGAAAGATTCTTTCTTTCCTTCCCACAGGCAACAAACAGGCATTTCCCACAAACTGTTACTGGGGCATATTTGAGTGGTGTTCGAGAAGCAAGCAAGATTGCAGCCTTTTAAAAAGAACTTGTATGGACCTAAAGTTCTGTATCCCAAATGGAAATTTGAAACATAAGTTAGTTTTGCAAGAGAGGGGACTCTTGACTCTGTATAGTAAAATTGAAATGTTTCTGTGGTGATAGGAAAATGTAAACCCATTTCACTCTTCTGCAATCACTGACCCTCAAAACCCTTCCAGGCACTTATGTTTAATTGCATTTTTTCCATATGTCCAAATAGTGCTAAGTCCTGTGGGTTTCAGAAGGTGGCACAGTTTATCATTGAGACCTTGGTTCTGGTTGGGATTCCCCTCAGATTGGACATTCTGGTTGGCAGATTACTTTTCATATAATGTGAAACCAAGTAATCCAGCAGGAGTCACTAGGAAGCTTAGATAAAGCCATGTGCTTTTTTTTCTGTGACAATTTATCAGTACCTTTACCAATGAGCCTTAATATTTTTATGCAGCTCCAATTTTGGGCTTTCCTTAAAATTTACAATTCTTTTTTGATACAGCGATTTGAATTTTGACATGATGCTTCTAGGCTATTTTATACTACATAAATTTCTTTTCATTGGGTATTTAAAACTTGGATTCAGGTATATTTTGGTATTTTAGACCTGTGCACACTCATCAGCAACACAAGACTCAGTCCCTTAACAATGACTACATGTGTGTGCGTAATTTCTCAAGGGATGCAGGATGTTTTCATACCACAAAACCATTTTTGAGTGGGTAGCACACTTGAAATTTAGCAAAAATCTTGTCAGAATTGAAAGCCCCTCTTTATTTTTAAAGTTGACTTTTACAGTGTCTGATATTTTACATAGTTGTAAGTTTCCCATAGGCAGGTCCACTGGAAAACTGCACAAAATCTCAATCATTTTGGTACATAGCACATTATAAGCCATATGTTGTTAAAGTCTGAACATGGCAAAACTTACTCTTCCACTAAAAAGACTGTTTAATAAACATGGGTTTCAGGGTCTTTAGGATGCCTATTCTGCCAGGAAACTTCAGTTGATAGACTAGAAATATACTTTTGTTTTAAAAAGTCTTTGAACAATTCTTCTTTGAATTATATTGGTCTGCTTTTTAAAAGGGAGCTACAAAGGACTGTACAGCCACTTTTTGAAATATTAGGTATTTCTGATCTTGTACAACAATGTACAGTGCAGTGTGCGTTAGACAGTCTAGACATACTCTCTACCCTGTCAAAGTACAAAACAAAGCCAATGACCATGTATTTAAAAGTTCATTATTCACTGTACTTACAGGTTGTTGAGACTCATTGGTACTGATAAGGGAAGTATTCTGCTTTCAAGTGAAGTGATTAAAATGTTTAGCATGTATGAAGCGATAAATACAAAATGTTAAATGGTTCTGTCCATCTAAGTTATTTAGTTTCTAGGCACTTGTATTTTCTATGCTACTTCAAGTATGAGTATTTAATTTTCTCCCATTTTGAGTGACATACTTAGTTTCATATTTTGTTCTAAAGAAACTATGGTACTTTGAGTTATTTTTTCCAATCTCTAAGACTTTTGTTAATGAGAAGTATACCTTGATTTAACCACACATCATGAATAATTGGTTATGTAAAACTGCTCAATAAGTAGATTTTTGCAAATGCCCTTAATAAATGGTCATAGCATCACTGTGTCAACCTCATTTCCAGTCCTTTAAACTTTTTGGTCATAAGCATTTATTACCCTATTTCCTTAATAGTAAGTGGTCAACATACTAAACTAATTCTGTGTCAAAAATAGCTATTGTCGTAGGAAATAAGCAGACAAACCAAAGATTAAATACGAGACACTTAAAACACTGATTTATTCTTTATTGTGAAGATTTATGACAAATTACTTAAAAGCCAACATTTAGTCCCCACTTAATTGCTTGTTCCATTTCACTCTAAGCATATTGAAGTCAAGTATGTGAAAATACCTGTTAATGCTCAAATCTATGATGTGAAGATCAAACACTTAGTTGGTACATCAAATGTCATGTTGTCAAGCAGCATATTATAATTCAGAAATAGGTTATTAGGACAGTCAAATTTTAAATTCAGGGGCAGTCCATGTTTCATCACCTTAAAATCTTGATGACCAAAATTTAAAATCAAACAGCCTTGATTCTGTAATACTTTAATATTCATTTAATGTATGGTTTTTGATAAATACTTTCAGAGATACCTACACTGTCCACACCAGCTCTGGCTACACCTGATACTTTTAATCATAATTATGAAGGTAACCAGGTTTCCTGTATCTAATATTTATCTGGTCAAAAGTTTACTACTGTCAGTTCACTTATATAAGCCATGTGTGCTCACTCTTTCCCAGTTTTTGAAGCTGTGATGTGTTTATCCTCATGAAGTTTCTATGACACTTAAAGTTAACACAACCACACTGATGACACTTTCAGGGCAAAGCAGAACTGAACAGTCCTTCAGTATTATCACCACTGAACTCCGTTCTGTCATTGCTGCCTGGATGAACACTGACACTTAGTTACAAGTTTAAAGACACAAGAGTTTAAAAAATTGATTTGCACAAAAGAAATAAAAAAAATTATATACAACAAATTGGTTTTTAAAAATACAAAAATAACATCTGTCACTTCTGTCATGCCAACAACTTGACATATATACACATGCAGAAAAAGTTCCAACTCGGTCATCTGAACGCTGTGCTCTACTATGATGAACAAACTGCCGCTATGTCTTCACGCTGACAGAAGGTGTATTCAAAATATTTTGTATACTAAATACTGTAAGTCTTTGCATGTATAAATGCTGGTTAGAATAGTTTCTGCTCCGATTAAAAGCAATGTCTTAAGCAAGCTAACATTAAGTTCACTAAAATTCACAACAGTTCAGGAATCTATGACCTTATAATAAAGAAACGCAAAATGTACAACTATAAAAAGCAAGGAACTGCCATGCAAGATTTAAACTGAAAACTGCAAGAAAATGCAATTTAAAACAACAAGCTCAAATATATGTGACACGCAAAAGAGCAGCAAGTACTACCAACAATAGACTTAAAAAAGAATACATTCTCTTTGCTGGTATAAATCAGATCTTCAAATCTGAGAACAAGCCATTTGTCCTCTATCTCAAGAAATTAGCTGCAACAAAAAAGAAAACCGCATTAACACACCCAACACAACACCAAATACGCATACATCAAAGTCTTATTTGTAACATATTAAAGTGACCACAAGAATCAGGTGGTATCAATATGAAACAGAAGTTACTGTTGACCTTGTGCCTTGGAGTGACTTGGCTTGATACCTCAAAAATACAAAGCTACCATGTGTACGGTGAACCTATCTTACTCTGGGCTCAGACTTAACTAAGTATATTTCCTCATTCGTATTTATTAACTCTGGGATTTCAATATGAATACTCAAGAAAATGCAATATTTGATAGACTTTTGGTTTCTATGCCAAGTGATCAAATAGGAAAAGAAGAAATATTTACCTCTTTTACAGTTGTTTTAATGAAATCTTTCCTCTCAGTTAAATCATAAGCAGGGTAATTTTCATACACCTAAAAACATAAAAGCATATTTAAAAGTCTACAATACTGTCTTTAAAAGTAAATTTTTCCATGAGTTACATGCAGATTCTAAATGCTCTCTGGTTTACCACAGACTTATATCTGCAAATGAGAGTTAATACTGTATTCAAAGCAATAAAGTCACCTGACATTCTCAGTGCTTTACAGTAGCAAAGTTTCAGTTATGAAGTAGCAACAAAAATAATGCTATGGTTGGGTATTGTAAGAAATTTAAAAGTGGTAGTAGCCTTTTCTCTAACCTGACCAGCTCCCAAATAATCAAGACAAAGACTATTTATGGCACGATAACAGAACAGGTAATAATCCATTCTAACCCTCTAATCTAGCTACTTCCCAGCCAAAATTCTGAAATGCTTGCATTATCAGATTGACCTGGTGCTCTCTGTTCCACAGTGGCTCCTGGTCCCTCCCTCGCCTCACTGCTGAATCCTCCCTTCTCTCTGCCCTGTCCGTCCCTTGCTGGAACCAGACATCTGGCCCTGTTTTTACCAATGCTCAGCTTAATAATGGGAATAAATGGGAGCACAGTTTACTCAAAACTGAGAAAGGAGATACTTCAAAGACTCATTACACTCGATGTCCAGACTGCAACCAGACACGGGGGCAGAGAAGCCAGCATTTGAATAATACACGGGTAGTCTTTACACAGTATACACTAGCATGACACAGTTGGGGGTGGTCACCACAGCATGAGAAACTGTATTAAAGGGTCTCAGCATTAGAAAGGTTGTGAACCACTGCTGTAGAAAAAAAGGGTGTCCTATTATCTTGGAACTCAGTGAATAATTCTAGATACTTTACCCGTTCAAGCCTTGCCCACCCCAATCCCAGATAGGAAGGACTGTTCTGTGATGTACTCCTTTCAGAGGGTTCCAACAGTTTTCAAGGCTCTGCTGGAATATTAACCTCTCTACCACACTGAACGGCAGGCATATTTAAAGACAGGTAATGACTTCTCTGCTTTCTCTGTCAACACCTACTTACTCACAGCTTGGTATATAGTAAAGGCTCAATGAATGTCTAATCAATTAAAAATAAAATAAAAGCACAGAATAAGATTCTATTTATGCCAATACAAGCTAACAGTGTGTCACTAAGTTTCCACACCAGGGAAATGTCTGTGTTGTAAAGCGTAACGTGATTTTATTCACTCTATTCATAAGTTTAAGACAGAGATGTTTGACTGGTTTATGATCCCCACAGTCCCAGTATCCACAAGAGAGCCTGGAAACAGTTCAATCAATAGTCTTTGAGTGAATACATAAAAAGATGCACTAATGGTTACAAATTAAAGAATAGGTTAAAAAACAATACTCTGAAGCCAAAGGGGAACACACACACCCTCACACACACACTCACCCACATATACACACGCACATGGACTCACCCACTCATGCACACATGCGCGCGCACACACAAACCCACACCCCCACACACCTTACCTCTTTGCAAATCTGCTTCATTGTGACCTCTTCCAGGTTAGCATCAGCCAGTAATTTCTTCACTGTTTCTTTTAGCTCTTCATCTGTAGGCGGCTTTTTCAATTTTTTAATTAAAGGTTCATCATCAGAACTGTCTTCAGATTCAGACTCTAAAAGTTAGGATATTAAGTGTGAAAAACTTTTTTTTTTTGCATAACAAGGTGTAAGATGGAGTTTGTAAGTTTTCAAGAGAGCATAAACCCAAATCATTGCTTAGTTTAAAAAAATTTACCTTAAGATTGCATACTAAAGCATGCACTGAAATTTTTCTTGGCTTTGAAAACTGGCATGCCACTTTTCCCCCATGTTCTTTGAAGTCTATTGTCTCACACGTACACTTAAAGCAATGCACATGCACATGCTGCACGCTGGCAGCTGCGGTCATCATTTCTAATGTACCTTTTTTGGAACTGTTTTGGTTCTTCTTGGTGGTACTGCTGTCTGCCTTCTTAACATTAGCACTCTTTACAGATTTTTTACTTTTAGCAGTAGCTTTCTGTTTTGCTTTTTCTTTTTTAGATGTCTTTTTTGGTGGTTGCTAGAAAGGAAAGCAAAGCATGAGTCACTACTGTCCCTCCTCTCCTTTCTCACAGAAAACCTAGCTAGCTCAGCTTAAACACTACTAGTTACCAACTGCTGAGAGGAACTGTACCCCAATGCTATTTCTATATAAGTCTAAGCATATGCCACCTATATTATTCCATTTAATTGAAGGTGAAAGATAACTCAAAATATAAATACTATTTACTATCTCCTACTATCTTCCCCAACTAAAATCCAAGTTACAGGAAGACAAGCTTTTATCTCTTGTGATAAACCCTAACTTCTAAAAGAGTGCTTAGTATACAAAGCAGTTGTTCAGTAAAAATTTGTGAGGAAACGGATACAGTGGCATCATCTTGTTCAAAATCACATTAATACAAGCAAAGATTCAAATACAGACCAGAGTCCAGAACACATGCTCTTAAATACCAGTTCACAGATGAGTCAACAAGAGCTAAGTGCTAGACATTTGCACAAATTACAGTATCTAAATTATAACTTTTAAGCACTCTGAAACTAAGAAGTATTAATTCTTCACTTAATTAACATTCCCAAAGCAAAGTATTCCACATAACAATAAAACCTAAGGCCAGGCACTTGGAGGCTGAGGATCTCTAAGTTTGAGGCCAGCCTGGTCTACAGAGAATATCCTTGTCTTCAAACAAATTCTCATCTTCATACATCAAAACTACCACAAACAGCTAGACAGAAGAATGTTTTACATTCTCAATTTTGGAGTTACATCATCAAATCAGCTTTCTGTTATCTGTGCGATACTGCTGTAATACATACCTAGACCAGCACTGAACAATCTTTTTTTGCTATGGCCACTAGAGTCCTCAATTGCAACCTTACTTAAACCTTTTTAAAAGATATAAATACTGTGTTCAAATCTGTCCTTTAGATCAATTTCTTTCAAAAGCTAGGTGGACTCAGACAGTATATGCAAGTGGCATTGGTTCATTTTTGTTGTTGTTGCACACAAACCTAGACTCACTTTGCATTAACTTGATAATATTCTGTTGGCTAGCAGACGGTTGGCTACTACTAACAGTACTTAAGAGGATGATTAAGTATGGGAGCTTTACCAAGCCCAGCACCAATGACTAGTTATTAGATTTCCCATGAGTAACTTAAACAAATTTTTAAAACTTAGATGCCCATCTAGTTTGTATAAGCTGCAGTATGCTCTTTAAAGGGAAAAAAAGGATCAGCTATTTGACACACAGAATAAAATATTCACTGTCACTATTTAGTCCAAGCTAAAATATCTGGACTTGTGCGATTAAGAAACTAAGCTATACTACCCTAAGTGCTGGGAAAACTGAGCAGCAGAAACAGCACATTTGATTGCCACTCAATCCTATTACATTAGGGAATTAGAACATTCCCAGGGCTGGCTGGCTGAGGTGTATTTAAACCTACTAATTGCTACAAGCTAATGATTTTATAAAGTTTAAACATCTGTGTTCATAAGAGGGTAGGGAAGGAAATGAAGCCAATTTTAGAAAATTTTGCTTCTGGACAAACATATACATCTTTCTATATTTAACTCCATCTTCTAGAAAGGATTAACATTTACATCTTTTAATAAAAGACAAGTAGCCTAATGTTGATTAACAAATTTTCTAAGAGTGCAATCATATCACACAAGCAGTATAGAGTAAGACAAACTACAGTTCATAGTGTAGGGTCTTGAGGTAACCTGCTGACTTGGCAATCTCAGTCTCAGTTTACCTCCAGGTCTTACTTTCCCCACTTATCCAAAAAAGGAACCGATCTACTTCTTTATGGGATAGATGTTCAACTGTGTGAAAATATGTCTTTTAAAAAAATTTTTTATTTTATGTATGTGAGTACATACTGTAGGTGTTTTTAGACACACCAGAAGAAGACATCAGACCCATTACAGATGGTTATGGGCTACCATGTAGTTGCTGGGAATTGAACTCAGGACCTCTGGAAGAACAGTCAGTGCTCTTAACCGCTGAGCCACCTCTCCAGCCCATGAAAATACTTTTAATGATGCCTTATGCCATATAGGAAACAGTATTATCCACCATTGCTACCATGTGCTTCCTTTTGTGATTAAGAAACTCCTTCATTATGCATACTAATTTCTAAAACTTGATGCTGTAGTCTTTAAAAGCGAGGTGGCTACTATAGAATGGAAATTACTAAAGTAACACTTTGCTGACCATGACAAATCACACTCACTTCACTACTTTATATATGGCAGATATGACTTGGCTCACAAACATCTTCATTCCTGTAAGTTTATCCTGGGTTTCACTTATATTCAGTAATCAGTTGTAAATTTTTCTGCGACACACTGATGACTTGGGAAATACTGAAAACTGAACAGTAAACCAACAAACTCATACAAGTGGTAGAATTTGGGGCATAGTAAAATAACCAATGGACTTGTCTTTAGCACTACAAATGGTAAGAATCACTTCACCTACCCTGAAGATGTAGTTACAGGTAACTCTGGAAAAGATAAGCATTTCAAACATCTCAATGTTGAGAAAGAAAGGACAGTTTCAGAAGTTAAGGCAAATACAGGTCATTGGTATTTAGTGGTAATAACAACCACCCAGCAACCAACAGGACATCTGAGAAGGCAAGTTAACCATACCATTTTAATTTTCTACTAACTCAATCCTTATGAAAACCTTAAGACTCTAAAGCTAGCTTAACCATCACACTTTAAACATCTCACAATGTTACCAATTTGATTGGTGAGATTTGATTACTTCACATCCCCACACCTGGCCTGTAGGTCATTAATCCCAACAACCTCTTAGAAGACAGTACAGCAGTAAGAACATGAGCTTACAATCAAACTTTGTTGCTAACTTTGCATTCTTAATCAGATCACTTACATTTCTAGTCCTCTTTCCTGGTCAGTAAAATGAAGAGCCATTTGCCAGGTCGTGGTGGTGCACACCTTTAATCCCAGCTCGAAGGACACAGAGACAGACAGATCTCTGCAAGTTCCAGGCCATCCTGGTCTACAAAATGAGTTCCAGGACAGCCAAGACTGTTACACAGAGAAACCCTGTCTCAAAAAAACAAAAATAACAACAAAAACCCAACCAACCAAAAGCTCACAAAAACGGCTCACTTTGTTGATCATAACACTTTTTCCAATCATTTCCACCTCTGTGCTATTAGGATAACATTTTTAACTTACATAAAAATCCCTTATAGACACAGTAGGTCTGATTAGTTATATTATCTACACAATTACTGAGGATAAACTATATGAAAGGCAGTACAACTCTACATATACACATACATACTGTTTATTAAACAGTATTTCCATGCCTGTTTAAATACACTACCCTGCCAGCTTATGAGAAGACCTGACACATGTGGAACAGACTCTGCCCGCTCTTATTTAGCTCTCCCGGTCCCCAGGCAAGCAAGCTGCTTGGTTTATAGTATACAGTTTATAGTGTATTTTCTTATGTTCATCTCTGTACTTTTTTTTGTAGGATCTGGTCATTGTTCTCTATAAACTAGGAGGTAGTAGAAAGTTTAAAAGGGAAAGAAAAATGCATTTTCATAACACTGCTTCCACACAATCTCATGAGCTCAAAACAAACAAAAACAAAGATTAAAACAAAATTCCTTAACTGATCATAAATGAGGAAATGCAGAAGAAAGCTGAGTCAACACCTTCCAGCTACAAAGAAATGTGTCCTGTATTAATTTTTAGAGGAATAAAAACCACCTACTTATGTGCTCCTTTAAGCTAGGGCTAAACTATAAAACTAAATTACAGTAACAAACCAAGTAGTACATCACAGCTCTTTGCTATATGCTGAATACAGATCCTCTCCTATTCTAAAAATAACAAGTATTATTAGCTCTTTTGTCCCTTAAGTTATACTTGATTACATCTTTTTTCCTCTTCCTAATATGTGGCCAACCCAATCTCTACACTGTATAAGGCTGCACATGACTAAAGACTGTTAACGTGGTAACCTCTACTCCAGAGCATACAACTAGTGCTTCTAGTTGTTACGTAATTATTAAGTGGGACATGAGACCTGAGGCCTAGGTAAGATTTAAAGTCTTCTACCCATCTGCCATTGTTAGTCATCTTGCTAAGCCACAAAGTCTTTTACTAATAAAAATTAGCCAAGCCTCCTGATTTGTAGCAACATCATCTTGTTGTATAATTTACATGCATAGATTGTATATCTGAGAAAGAGGAAAAGGGAAAAGACCATTGGATCAAGCCATCAAGAGTACTCCTACAATCCTTGACACTAGAGAGGCTAAGGCTGTAAGTTCAAGGCCAGCAAGAAATACACAAACACTTTTAAAAAGATCACAATAATTCCTAAACTATATAAACAAAGGTATACCTTTAATTCTTAAGAATTAACGAAATTTAAGACGTGAAAGAGTCTCAATAAATACCTTTGTTATTTAACCAAACAGACTGAGACTGGGTCATTTACAAAATTGTGGAAAAAAATTCATAAGTTTCAAAGGGGGTGAAAAAAGCTAGTTTCCAAACTATAACTTACTTTGAAAGATTTGTGTGTGTGTGTGTGTGTAAATGCATGCATATGCTCATTTATATACATATATGTTTTTTAAAAGAATGTTGTAGTCAAAGCTGTTAAAACAGATTGGAAAACACGTGCGCTGTGTGTATACTATGTGTGTGTCCTAGAAGACCAGAAAAGGGTATCGGATTCACTGGAATTGGAGTCATGTATTGGGATTTAAACTTGAATCCTCTAGAAGAGCAGCAAATGTTCTTAATGGCTTAATCATCTCTTTAACCCAAAGACATAAGATTAATAATGTAATTTTCAAAAATCTGGAGAGGCTTTTCCATGTAGAATCGAGAAAAGGCACAAACACTTTTGGCCAAAAACCCAAAAATCTTGTGAGAACAAGGCTTACCTATCTGTTATAGGCAACAGGGCTCTTGAAGGAGGGTCACCAAAAAAGATGCCTGTCACAGAGCCAGAATTCTGTCCTCACAGCAGAAAGGTTGTACTGAATGAACGAACAGATGAACAAAATAAAAAAAAAATTAGCTTAAATACAGGACTGCTCGAACAAGTTGGCAGAGAAAAACCAAAATGCCAAGAGAAAAAAAATATGTGCAGTTCCAGTTACAATCTATAAAAAAGATGAAATGTAAATGGTTTCATCAAGGTGACCTACTAACTTTGATTTCTAACAAAAGATTTAAATAGATTATTCAATTCTGTAATTTCTGCTGTTCCAATTACAAAGTTTCTTAGTTTCTAAAAGTATTATTATTATTATATATATATTTTTTCAGACAGGGTTTCTCTGTGTAGCCATGACTGTCCTGGAACTCATCTCTGTAGACCAGGCTGTCTCCAAACTCAGAAATCTGACTGCCTCTGCCTCCAGAGTGCTGAGACTGAAAGCATACAGTACCACCACCTGACTCTAAAAGCATTATTAAGGAACAGAAAAATATGTGTGCCCACATTTCTACTCTCACACAAGTCACTCAACAAAAAAGACAGTTAACAAACTCTGTGACCGTAGACTTCTCATCTGTAGGATGTGAAATGAAGAGCATCCTACTTTTGATTTATCCCTTTCCTAAGAAGGCAGGAAAGGGGACAGCTCCCGCATAATGTCAATCCACCCCAGATGCAGTGCAGCAGCCAGCATACCTTAAGCACTGCTGGGCTGTGGTGGCACACACCTTTAATCCCAGCACGTGGGAGGCAGAAGCAGGCAAATCTCTGTGAATTCCAGGCCAGCCTAGTCTACAGAGCAAGTTCCAGGACAGTCAGGGCCACATGCAGAGAAACCCTGTCTTGAAAAGCCAGAAAGTAAAATGAAAACAGTAAGAGAAGAAACAATGAGGGAAACACTACCTTGGGATCTGAACAGCTTCATATATAGAGAAGCCTCTAAGTTTCTATTCCAAGGGCAATATGGCAAACATCTGCCTGTTGCCTTTTTTGTCCAGGTCTGTAACAAGAATAAAATATCTAGACATAAAGCCATTACCCTGGTTAGCTTTGGTTAGGACAAAGAGAAATCAAGATAGGACTGAACTGGAAACTGCTTCCCTCTCTGGGTAATGGTTATTGGCAGATAGAGCTATGACAGCCTTACAGGAGAAATACGCATTAATGATAGTACTCTGCTATAGAACTCATGTGCACGACAATACCAGTTCATCAGCAAGATATGCCAACTAGTGTGATGGTGGCAAGACTATTTTCCAGATGAACCAGTCTGGTTATCCGAGGCCCACAACATAGGAAGGAATACACACTTGGTAGTATAAAAACCTGGTCAAGAGGCTACGGCTGACAAGGGCCTGAGCTCACAGCTGGAACTTACTTACCTACTTGAATACATTCTAAGTACATGTGTTTATGCCCTTTTAAAAAACAAACAAACAAACAAAAAACAAAGCAAAACAAAACACAGGGTAACCATTTATGCACTGAGTCCTAGCTGGTCAAAGTACAAACAGTGGTGAACACTCATCCTCAAATGGGACATCTTTATCAACTCCCACCCAAAGCCTAGGAAATATTACCGAAGAGAACAAAATGAATTCAAGAACTGGAGGATGAGGACAACTGTCATGAAACACAGCCATCCAGACAAGACCCTGCCCCTCAGCCATGAACACACAGCTGCGATGAATACTTTCACAAGATTGGCTTTTCATCATGGATAGAGACAACAAGAACGCTCACCCATGCCTTCCCTCAGGAGTAAGAAATACTATTAATGGGTGCTGGTGGAGGTGTTATAATAAACTAGATGAGAAGAAAGGGGAAAAACCTGTCTATAGACTTCACTGGAATTTTATCTCATAAAGCATGTCAGGACAAACCCTGTTGGGGAAAAAATCTCCCTAACAGCTTTAATATGGGGTGACTTGATGTATTTAATGCCTACAGAGCATTGTATTCTTTTATCCTTCATTTGGCCTGGGTTTGTTTATGTCACTAGATAAAAGAAAACTCTTTGTAAATGGACAGTTTACATATGTCTGTAAAGTATCTTCCTAGACTTTATCTTGGCAACAAGACTGAATTTTGAAATGGTACTTGGAATAAAATATCTTAAGGGCTTTAAGATGGGGTTTCTCTGTGTAGTTCTGTCTGTCTTGGAACTCATTCTGTAGACCACAGTGGCCTCTGTCTCATGAATGCTGGGATTAAAGGCAATGTGCCACCATACCTAGCTAAGGACTCTAACAGTAATAATACCAACTAATGCAGAATATATGTTGCCATGGATGCTAAACTCATTTACTATGACTCCATGACATTGCTTCCAATTTCCTAATGGGAGACTGAGTAAACAGATTAAGTAACTAGAGCAGGAACCTGAGCCCAGTTTCCAAATCTCATTTTTTGTTTCATGAAAAACAAAAAACTTCTGTAATAACTTTTATAATTTTTCATGATTTGCCTTTAAAGTTTAATAAACAATAAAGGGCACATGGTAAATGAGCAAAAAACTGAACAAAGAAAATTGTTTAAAATCATGGGGCTAATGAGACAGCTCATGCCACATCAGCATTGACTCGAATTTAACGCACATAAAAACCAGGCACAGTGATGCAATGCCTACAGCCTCAGTCCTAGGAGATAGAGAATTTGAATCCCCTGGGGCTTGCTGGCCAGCCAACCTTACTAGTTGGTAAGGCCTAGGTTCCAATGAGAGGCTGTCTCATATCAGGTGCATGGAGGCAGGGTATATGGCGATGTATGCCTTTAGTCTCACCACTAGAAAGGCAAAGGCAGGTATATCTCTGTAAATTCAAGGCTAGTGTGATCTATACTGAGAACCAGGCTAGTCAGTGGAAGGGGCTGGGCTGGGGGGTGAGAGCAGTTGCTTGAGGGTTGCTCTCTGACACAATCTGTCAGAATTATTTATATAAATATAAACAAATGTTTTCCTCTCAGGTGTTCAGATTACTCATCTTTCCTCCACACCAAAATACATTTAAAAAATTTGTAAAGTACGGGTTGAAGGGACGCCATGGTGGTTAAGAGCACTTGCTATTCTTTTAGAAGGCTCAGCTTAATTCCCAGCACTCATATCAGATAGCTCAAAACTACCTGTACCTCTAGCTCCAGAGGGTAACTCTCTCTCTTCTGGCCTTAGAAAGCACAGAACTCATAGAAAGAGACACACACATGCATATCAATAAAAAAATGTATGAAGCACCTGCAAGATATGTTTAAAACAAAGTTCTCACATTATGAAAGCTCATACTTAGTTTCATACACCTTTAATAATCTGACATTAGGAGTTAGAAAGATTGGCTGAGCTGTTCTTCCAGCTGATCTGGATTTAATTATCAGCAACCACATGGTAGCTCAGAACCATATATAACTCAACTCCCAGAGGATCTAATGCCCTCCTCTTCTAATGGCCTCTGCAGGCAACAGACATTAAAACAAGCATTAACTCTAAATATCTCAGGTCAAATATATACACTAACATATTCATATAAAACAAGCTTACTATTGTCTTTTAAAGAAAAGATTTTATTTTAATTATAGGTATTCATATTTGTCTGTGTAAAAATGTGTAGTTCCCTGCAGAAACTAGAAGTGGGCACTGTAAGCTCCAGAGCTGGAATTACCGACAGTTCATCTTGGGTACCAGGAATTCTGGTCTTTTGAAAGAGCAGTGTAAGTTCATAAACCACTGAGCCACCCTCCCAGTTTCATAGTTTACCATATTCTTCCAATTCTGTGGTGTTCAGGAGATGAAAAGCATCCTCCCTAACCACACAAGGGACATCATTAGTGTTGAAAGACATTTTTGGCTATCACAATTGTGTAGTGCTTCCCACAAAAGGAAATAAGACTGCAATGTCAATCAGGATTAATCAAGCCTACATACTTCTGTACACATTTATAAAACAAAATAAGTTCTAATCTCTAAAGAAGACAGAAACAACAACAAAATCACACTAAACACCTTTAAGAACAGGAACTCACCTTCTGTACCTACCTTCCCAGACCTTGACTGAAGATATAGCAAAAGCTAAATTCCTAAATAACAGTTTTCCACCTACCTAGTATGCACTCTGGAAGCATTTTACAAATAAAAATGTTCCATTTCTAAGTGACATAAACCTCAAATGCTGTTACACTCATTAAATAATCCCCAAAAGACTGGGGAGAAAATGACAAACTTTAACATTTTACTTTCTGCATCAATTTAAATTAAGTTCAAGTCAATTATAAGATATTAAAATACTATGGAAACAACAACAACCCTTAAGAATATGCTCCCATGGGCTGGAGAAGGCTCAGTGGTTAAGAATACTGGCTGTTCATCCAAAGGATCCAAATTCAATTCCTAGCACCCACATGGTGGGACTCAGACATCCAGTTTCAGGGGATCTGCTGCCCTTTCTGGTCTTTGCAGAAAGCATGTGGTACACAGACATATTTGCAGAACATGATCTTCTGCTGCTTCCTTTCCCATCCCCCACCCTATTCGGTGAGAGCCAGCTCAAGGCCCGCTTCAAATTCACATTACAAACTCAACTGCTCTTAACCTACTATCATGTTTAATGGGGTGGGGGGATCTAAGCCTACTCAATTATTTATATATCTTCACAATTTAAAAAAAAACTCAAACTATTTGTTAATATAGCAAAATATCTGATAGAAAACAATAGCTTAAGACAACATTTTACCTCCTCTTCACTTTCTTTCTCTTCATCTTCTGAAGACTCTTCCTTATTTTTCTTCTCATCTTCATCACTACTAGACTCATCTGACAGAATTTCAGGGCATTTAGTTTGCTTTGACTTCCGTGTTGTTCCAGAACTGTTCCGTTCCTTTTTATTACCTTTGCTGGAAGATTTTTTGGATTTTGGCAATGGCTGCAGCATATAAAAATTCATGACAGTAACATCAATAAGGGTATTTCTAAGTCAATCAAATCAACTCCTTTTGATAACTACTGTTCAACTCAAACTCTGTGGAAAAGTATCTACAGGCTTGCAGAAGCCACCATTAAATGTGTCAGACTGCATCACCAGTTCTCATCTGTACCATGAAGGCCTGGCAAGACCATCTACAAAGGCTGCTCTTAGTTCTGAAACAGGACTGGAACTCACTGTAATGAGGTCAGGCATGTTTACATTTGACCAAGACTATATTAGAAATTAAACTTAATTTATCTCACTTTTTAAGAACTAAAGATGCCATTACAAGGAGCGCCTTGCTTTAAAGGTTCCATGAATCAAAGGAGTGGGAGGAACCACACACAGAAAATAAAGCTTAACCAGCAATTATTTATCCAAATTTATAAATGAAATGCACAAGCCAATTTCTCAATGACACCGTTCTGTATGCAATAAATGTTGAGTATGTTAACTATGAAATAAGTAACTTGCAATATTTTGCCCTCAGTTAAACTGTATGAATTTCTAATTACACAGGAAAATGATTTGATTATCTAATGAACTTATTTTTAAATGCTTTCTTAGGAGTATTTGCTAAATTCTAAATTCTAAAAACTAGGTAACAGCCCTATATTAACTATTTCTTCAACCTATTTCCATTAGTCCAATGCCTTTCCAGACAGAAACCCTGAAGCCACCGTTTGTATCTTATCTTTGTGACATTTAGGTATTTTTCTTAACCCTATACTACTCACACTTGACCTGAGAAAACGAATATGCTATTTGATTTATATTATGAAAATGTTGCGGTTCTGTCAATGGAAGGCATATATTTTAAATGCAGATGATGTCAGTCACTGATGAGAGAAAGAAAGGAAAGGCTGTTAATAATGAATTTATTGAAATGGTAAAAAGTGATCCTTACTTTGCCAGAAGGCTTTGGATGCATTAAGAAATTCAAGATCCTCTTCACTAGTTCACTGTTCACACCTGATCTCTCTAAATCAAGAACTTCACAGATGCTCTTCAACATGGCATTTCTAAACCTGGAACAGAAAGCAGAGAAAAACAAGGTGACTACATATGAATTGTAAATATTACTCATGGTATAGAGACAAGAGCCAACAAAACTGGTTTGCTTACATAGCAGTTACAAGTATTTTTCTATAGTTTTAATCAACCTGACCACAGTATACAACCTTTAGAAAATGAAGAATATTTACCAACAGTTTAAATAAGCACACTAGAAAATTACGTAAGTTCCCAATACTACAAAATTCATGGACTTGAAAACTGGGTTAGTGATTCAGCATTCAATATCTCAATCATTTGTATTATTTAAATTTTTATCTATGGCATTTAATAAAAAGTTCCAAGAGTCTGTCACCTTGCTAGTACGGAAAATTTCTCATCGGGTTACTTTCAAAGCAAGTTTAAAGCATTAAGAAATAGTAATGGCAGGAATGGAAATATATTTCACTACATTTCCTTCAGATCTTATCAAGTCTGAACTCTGAGTACTTGTATTGTCTAGGAAATGAAAATTTAAAGGTTCTCAATAATTACAACAGTCAATATTTACTAGAACAGAAAAGACAACCCAAGTTAGTGCTAAGAAAAACTTGTCAAATTGTGACACTTAAACAGTTAGCAATCTATTTTAAAATAATAAATGTAAGCTTATAGCCCATTAATCAAACACAGTATTTACAAAAATAACTTACTTTTTCAACATTTCTTCCTTTTTTTTATACTGGGTACTGCCTTTTTCAAATGGAAAGCCACTGAACTGACCCACGTTCTTCTTCAACGAGGACACCTGAAAATGTTTATTGTTAATGCTACTATCCAGTAACGTAAAAGACAAAAAAGTCAAAGACAATGTCTTCATTTTCAGATCCATCTTCCAAGTTAGAATACTGATTTATTCAACAAAGTATATTAGCTACTAACATGTTAACATTTCGAAAATCCTACAAACTGAATTTTTTGTAAAGTCTGAATCTGAATATATTTTCACCTAGGAATGTTTACCATAATTGTTCTTAAGGTAGATGTAGAAAGTTAGTAGCCAATGACTGTTTTTTAAAAAGAACTGTAAGTATTCTAAAAAGTTAATGCCATTTACTAGTTACGAAACGAGTGTGAATTAGATTGTGTGCAGACTGAGGTTAGTCTGTGAAAATAAACTAGACCATGCTTCAGACATCCTCTACCTTTTTTTCACATATACAATTCCAAAGCAAATTTTATTTCAATTATAATTATATGGCCTGGCGAGATGGCTCAGTGGTAAGACCACTGGCTGTTCTCCCCACCATCTCCATGGTGGCTGACGAGGCACATCTGTAACTCCAGCCCAGGGGATCCAATACTGTCTCAGGCACCAAGCAAGCATACAATGAACAGATAGATATCCATGTGGGCAAAACACCACAGAAATGGAACAAACCCTTTCATTTCAATACAGTTACATGTAGTATGATATAATAACTATAATCTGGCAAAAATCTGCTACTTACTTTTATGAGTATTTGGTTAAAATAAGATACAATTACAAGGAACTAAGAACAGTGAAAAATAAATTTAATTCTAATATCATTAAAAGTCACAACAGATTGTATTATATAATTTAGGTTTTCAGTTTGGAGCAAATTTCATTTCCTTTTCTGTTTTGCTGGTAGTGCTGCTAGAGACGGCTCAGGGCCTTGGGGATTTCAGAAGCAATCTATCTCTGTACTATTCCTCTAGCCCCAGTTAGAAGGAAAAACAAGAGTCCTAGACATTACCAGCTATGTGTACCATGATGTCCTTAACAAGTATACCACAGCCTTAACAAATGTGTGTCTCAAATTTACTCACTGGTATAGTATAGAAATTAAACTAGTTGATCATTAAAGTCTTACAGAATTAAAATTATAGCTCTAAGGTGAAGCATCTTAATATATTAAGTATCAAAAAACATGGTAAAGATGTTTTTCAAATGTCTTACTGTGCCCGGCCTGTTGTAAAGCAGTTTGTGTAGATTTCTAAGTTCATCTGTTTTTTTCTTACTCAGAAAGAAATGTATCCTTTCAATTTCACAGAGTTTCTGACCCTTCCCTGAAAAACAAAATATCACAATTAAATACCCAGGCCTTAGTAACATTTACAAAGTTAATTTAATGAAAATTATCCCCACCACATAATTTGTATAATTTTGTGCTAGTAGGGAAAATTAAAATTATGCCAAAAATATATCCTACTTCCTAAACACTAAGTATACTGCTAGTATCAAGTATTTGCTGGCTAATTACTTTTGCCTAATTGAGCATTTTTCCCATAAAAGTAAGACGAACTCACCTTGTGCGATTGTAAATGGCTCTCTTTGCAGGGAAGACACTTGCATCGTCAATCTCTCCACTTTCTTCTTCTCTCTCTTGCCTTCCACGATAAGACTCTTTTCTAGAAATTAATAATTCTTACATATCAAAGAGCTAAAGTCATGTCAACTTTATAAACAGGTCAGGAAGAGCTCCTGCACTCAGCACCTTACTTTCCTCCTGAGCTAGTTTTGAGAAGCAAATGAAGCACTGTGGAAGTTTTTATTTTTTAAGAGTAACATTTTATTTGTCAAACATCTAGCCTAAAATTACAGAAACTTCCATCCAATTACAATTATCACTATTAAGATTGTCATTTGACTTGTGAAAAAAATCATCTAGTTTCTCATTTATCTTATTTTCTCATATATAAAAAATGAGTCTTTATGTATATAAACTGTAATAAGATAATTAGTATTTCAATCTCGTTTTATTTTGTCCTGGGTCTCCAAACTCTTCTAAATTTTCATACAAACATGAAATAAATTATTTAAACTAAGTAGTCATCCTACTGTGCTAAACACTAGAGCATGTTTCTCCTCTAACTGTATTTTGGTACCTGTGGTAAAATAGCTGGCTAAACATTACTTTGTAGTTTGATAACAATGCTAATAATGTCAGTAAGTCAGTGTGAAAAAGTTAAGTACCCTTTAAACTAGTCTTCTAAGAAAACCCCAGGAAATCTGTAGTCTATACAGCTTAAAACATTAAGTTATATTTATCAAAAACCACTTACTTATTGAGTGAGATCTAGTCAAATAAAATACTATGTTTTGTGTAGGTCTTCTCATTCATTCAAATGAATACCTATTGTGTCCAAATTGTACCAAATACTCAAAAGAACATTAAATATTTTTTTTGAAAACTCGACTAGGAAAATAAAAACTACTCATAGTGTAGAAGATGATAAATATCTTCAAGAAAGATACAAATAAGGGATAATGATACAATGCCTAAAATGTTCAAGTCCCTAGATTCAATACTCAATTTTGAAAAGAGAAAAAGATAGCAAATATAAAATTTGTGAGCCTGGCTAGTCAGACTCCTGAGCATGTAAAGGCGCTGGCTGCCAAGTCTGGTGATCCAATCTAACACCCAGGGTTCTAACACCCAGGGTTCTAACACCCAGGGTTCTAACACCCAGGGTTCTAAGCCCAGAATGAATATGGGGAAAAGAAATGACTCCCTGAAGTCCTCTTCCGACCTCCACATGCACCACTCCTAGCCATACACAACAAAAGATATAGCAGGCTTTGTGAGGGACTGGAGACATGGCTCAGGGTAAGATACTAAGCACATGGCAGCTCACAACTATCTCTAACTCCACCTTCTGGCATCAGGTACTTTCTGGCCTCCGAGGACACTGGGCCATGTACTTGGTGTACATACATACACGCAACCAAAACACTCATATACAGAAAATAAAAATAAATCTTAAAAACAAAATTTGTCAGAGTTGAAGGAGATTATTGTTTGGGGAGGGAAAAGAATCAAAACATTAGTGTAGGCTTTCCAAGACAGGTCAGGTTTGGGGGACATAAAGAGTTGCAGAGAATAAATGGAGAAAAACAGCACTGAGTCGAACACTCCTACAGTCACCCAGCTTCTTCTCAGTAATAAGTTGTTCACTTGCTTTGGATCAGGATCTACAAACTAGTAAGTTCTCAGTCTCAGAAGCCTAACCTGGAAATGAATGCATACCCCACTGTAACCTTGACAGTTCCTCTATGTCCTTCAGGAACCCCAACAACACACCCAAAAGCCCTCTCAGTATCAGCAGCAAGCTTGTGCTGCTGTTTTTCTACAGAAGAGCATCATCCCAACCCTACAGAGGACAGACGACAGTCACAGTTCTGACTCTCATCTCCACCGAATCACTTCCAATTCTTGCCTTACTTCACAGACTTCAGTAATTTCACTGTCCCCACACTTTTCTGTCATTATACTGAAGGTAAGTATTCTGGGACAAGTAGAATAGAAACTTGCAATTCCAGTTACCCCGAATACCCCCAAAGAGAAAACTGAGTAATAATGAACCACTTCTCAAACTGTGAAGGACTAAACCTACAAAACCACTTTTAAAAACACCACTGCCTTATTCAGCTAGAACGAAATCCAGATCTTAAGAATCACTCACGGAGAGCCTCCCCAGCCATTACTATATAGAACTTCTCAATTTCTTTCTGCCCAAGAAAACTCACCACCTGTAACATCACAACTCTGTCCCTCTAGGAAGACAATAAATACCAACAGTGAAAGTGTTAAAGTCTTAGCTATATACTGAGAGATTGCAGTCAACTTTCAGTCACTACATTATGGTTTTCATTCCTTCTAGGCTCCGCCCAACAGTTACCTAGCAACAGCCAGGTAGGCCTGGCTTGCTATAAAAGGGTCTGTTTGGCCTCTCTTAGCCCTCTGCCCCCTTCTCCTCCTCCCCTTACCCCCTCTCTCTCCACGTGTTCCCGGCCCATCTCTTTCTCTCTACTCCTTTCTTAACTCCCCTTCCCATGGCCCCAAATAAACTATTCTATAGTACAGTTGTCGTATGGCTGGTACCTCAGGGAGGAGGGGTGTCTCAGCATGAGCCCACTAGGGTCTCCCCCCCAACACCGCACCATACCACGCTCTACGAACATATCATCGGCTTTATAAAACACATCAATTATAAATAACCTAAAAGCAATTTAAACAATTCTTATTAAGATTTATAATCAAAGCCAATGCTGTACTTAAATGGCACACTCCCATAAGGTCTTAGGGCACATACCACTTCAAATAATAAGTATGCCTTGTCCTCTTAACCTAGATGATAGTTATAAAAAGAAATGACAGTTTGGGAAGAGTACTTTAACCTTTGGGCCTGCTCCCGAGTTTGGCTGAGCTGTGGCCATTTGCACCATTAAAGCTAGACTGTGAAGTTGGATTTTCCAATAGCTGAGACTGTCGGGCAGACTGCTGGAGAGGAGCGACAGCACGCACTCTGACTGACACAATACTACTTTGCACAGCTCAGCCCCTAGTCAAATGATGCTTCTCACCACCTTGCTTGGACCAGAATTAGTTCCAAAACCGAGACAGCTGTGGGCTCACATTCTAACTTTCAGTTCAGTTTTCTCATTTTTTAACTACTTTCACCAACAGCAACAGCTTTCTCGGGCGAGTCCTAGGCAGGGAAAAGCGCTCCCCACAAAAACCCTTACTGGGGGGAAAAAAATCAGCAGGTACACACAGCCGAGAATATGGAAATGAAACAATTTCCAGGGTTTGCAAGAATACCTGAAGTGTTACGTTACATTACAGACCCTTAGGGTACCTTCAAAAGGCGGATCTCAGACTTACAAACTTCCTAAACAACGACGATGCGTTCTGAAGGCACACCGGGAAAACTCTTGCTACGCTTGCACCGAAACCCTGGCAAATATTCAAAAAAAAAAATCCAAATCTTCTACCACTGATTGCTAGCATTCGCGTGAAATCAACCACTGCGACTTGATGCCTCTAAGGGTTAAAAAGCAAGATTAACTGCTTCCCTAAGGAGGGGGGAGGAAACTTTTGATGTGAAAAAATCCACCCGTGAGGGATGCGCAACCCTGCCCACCTTTTTCTTCCTCCTCGTCCTCGTCCTCTTCTTCTTCGTCTTCCTCCTCTTCCTCCTCCTCACTCTCCTCCCTGGGACCCGGCATCTCGGGTTCCTTCTCGGACGCGGGCGGCGCGGGGGTGTCCTCTCCCTCCGCAGCGGGGGCTGCCGCTGCCGACATGCTGGGGGCCTGCGGGCGGGGAGGAAGCCGCACGCTTCGGTTCGCTCGCTCGCTCGCTCGGGCAGGAGCGTGGCGACCGCCCAGTGTTAGCTCACCTCCAAGTCGCCTACCCAGCTCTGTCACTCGACCCGCCTCCCCGGGGATGCCCGAGGCGGGAAACCGCACCGCCCTCCAGCCGCCGGCGCGCGCTCCCGCCCGGCCTGCGCCGCCCCGGGCCGGGCCAGGCCAGTCTGGCCAAGGCGAGCCGAGCCCAGTCCCCTCCCCCGCGGCGGCTCTCCGTGCTTCTGGGCGCGTCCCCTTCCCACTGCCCGGCCCACGGTGGACAGCAGCCGCGTCTCCCCGATGCTGTCCTCACCGCGGGTGCGCACGAGAAGGCCGCCGCTGAGTAGAAGGCGCGCGGGCCGAGGTCCTCGCGCCGCGCGCTCTCTCTCTCTCTCCCCGCTCCTCAGAATCAACAAGATTTTCAAAATGGCGGTTCGGGAAGCAGAGCGGGAATGCGCCGGCCAATCAGCGCGCTGCGCTGGGAGTTGGCGCGCGCGGGAGGGCGGGCGGGGGAGGCGGGGCGGCGACGGCGGCGTCTCCCGCTGGCAGCCCGGGCGGGGTCTCGAGGGTCTGCGGTCCGCGGCAGGACCCGGTTGCGGCGCCGGGCGGCCGGGCGGGCGGCTGGGTGCACGGGGTGGCGGCGGGCGCGAGCCGGGGCCTCTGCGCTGAACGGTCGGACGCTAGGGGGCCTGCGAGCTTCCAGCCTCCCGATCCGGGAGAAAATGACGGGCCGTCCTGGGCCGCGGAGCGGGGAAGCGGCTGGAGGTGGCGAAGTTGAGGGATCCGCAGAAGTCTTTCTCGGCTCGACTTCACACCGTCATCTCCTTACAGACGGAGTTGACCAGCAGCCACCACGTTGGTCTTCTAGAGGTCGTTCGAGATGAAGGCTCCCAAATGTGACCTACTTGCGAGGCTTCGCGTCGCCGGTACGCAGCACCGTGACAAGGACCCACCACGTTAAGTGCTCACACCACCAGCGACATAAATAGGTTTCAAACCAGTGAATGTAAGACAAATTCATTCCCTCCCCCTTGGTCTCCCTTAAAATGCAGACACGGTATTTATCCAGCCACACTCTCCTGTCAAGAATTCTAGGCAAACCCACTGATACCTTTTAGAGTACACAGTGTAAAAACAACACATTTTCTCACGTGCTCCTACGTGTGATTGTCTTCATTTTCTCCCTTCCCTGAGAACACTAGCTGCCCAGATGATACCCTCCCCCGTTTTTAATCCAGTCAACTTGGTGGAAATATGATTGGTTTCATTTGCCATAATAGATTCCAAGTTGTAGGACACACGTTAAACTTTATTTTTCTTCTGTGTCCCTTTTCGAAACATAAGCAAAGTCCTGCTATTCCTCCTTTCAGACCTTAGGCCGTTTCTCATCCTACTGATTCTGCTCACCTTTCTTTGGTCCTTTTTTTAGTTTGGATTGCAACAGAGCCCTTCCAAGGGCTTCTCTGCCTCCTCCCACTAATCACACCCCAGCCAAAGCTATTTTGTTTGATTTGACTCTCAGAAGACCCCATCATAACTTGGAATTAACCTCCAAATTTCCATATCACAACCTGTAAGAAGCTACATAACCGGGCTGCTGACCCTCTGATAGCTCCCTGACACAGTTGCCCATTCAGTCACAGGAGCCTTACCTCCCGTTCCTGCACAGGGCTGTCATACTCTAGGCTTCACACTTCCACTGCCAGGCCTGCTCCTTCCTGTTCATCTTCAAAACGGGATCCTTCCCTCCACTTATCTCTGCCTGTGTATTTTTCCTCCCACCAGGCCATCACTGTTTTGATAGCATTCTCATCCATTCCTTTATAAGTACTGAGTCCCCTGCCCATCACTAAAGGCCTGCCATCTTGAAGAATAGACTATAGTTGAGACACTGAGCAATACAGCAGTCAGAAGGGGATTTGGAATGGGGGGGTTCCTTTAACGGTGATTGAAGGAATGAGATGGGAAAGACACGGTGTGCTCTAAAGGATCATCTAAATTACCAGACGTGGGAAGTAAGGGACAAGAGGATGAGAGTGAAGACTGGGTTTTGGTTCGGTTGTAGGAACAGAGAGGAGAAGGAAGATTTGAGGAGATGGGAGGTCTGAACTGACGTTGTTTTAGAGATGTTAGGATTGAGAGAAATTTCACCAAAGTGGAAACTAAAAATATGCTGTCTTAGTTCCGGTTTTACTGTTTTGAGTAGACACCATGACCAAGGCAAAGTCCTATAAAGGACAACATTTAATTGAGGCTGGCTTACAGGTTCAGAGGTCCAGTCCATTATCATCAAGGCAAGAACATGGGCGGCATCCAGGCAGGCATGATGCAGACAAAGCTGAGAGTTCTACATCTTCATCTGAAGGCTGCTAGTGGAAGACTGGCTTCCAGGCAGCTAGGGTGAGGGTCTTAAGCCCACACCCAGTGAAACACCTACTCAACAAGGCCACACCTTCTAATAGTGCCACTCTCTGGGCCAAGCGTATCCAAACCATCACATAAGCAGTTGGACATGAATGTCAAGAGTTTAAAGGAAGAAGCAAGAAGGAACTCACAATACAGACTTAGCGGCTATCAACATGTGGTTGGCACACAAAGCCCTGGCACTGAATAACGTCACATGTCACACATCACATGTCACACACAGGATGAACAAAGGGAGTGATGAGAAATTAAGTACCAAAGAGAGAGTGTCTCGAGACTGAACCTCTGAACGCTCCAGGTTTATGGATTCAAAAGAGGAAGGAAAGCCGGTTAAGAAGCTGTAGCAGCAGTAGCCAGTGGTGGAGGAGAAGCAAAAGCTGTGTCCCAGAAGCCAAGTGACTTCTTCACTAATAGTGCCATCCAAAGAGAGTGACCAGTTGGGTGAGATGTGAATGAAGAATTGACCATTGAATAGAACCACATTCTCCATGACTGGGAAGAGCTGCCTCTGTTAGGTAGTGGGTGTGAAGATTCTAGGAGTGGGGATAAAAGGTGAATTCAGACCCTCTCCAGGAATTTGGCTTTATGTGGTGTCTAAGAAAGCAGTAGTTCAAAGGGATCCTGCTTTTGAAGGAAGATGATATTACTGTATTATGATAGCAGTGACTTGAGAAAGAAAAAAAATCAATGACGCAAAAGGAAGAGAGGGACAGCAGCTGGAACCACTGTAGCAGGCCTGTCAGGTTGCGCTCTCTATGAGCAGATGCAGAAACAGAATTTGGAGCACTAAATGTTTTTTTAAGGGGTCAAGATCTGGTGAGGAGGAAGGAGAAGGAAACAGATTGGACAGAGGAAGAATGAAACTGATCCCACCAACCGTCAGCCAACCCTGGAGTTGTGGAGTGAGTACTGTTCTTCAGAGGTCCTGAGTGCTGGCCTGCAAATTGCACAGTCCTTGCATACAGGCTGCCCCAGGAAAGGCATCATTGAGGGGTGGGGTGGGGGGATGACAACTTTGACACATCCTGAAGGAGGTGGCAGATGGAGGCCATCTACTGACCACTGCTGTACAGCTGGGGAAGGATCTGAGTGGCACCATTCCAACCCTGCTCCAGGAGATAGGAGGACACGGGACCTAGTACACAAGTGGAAGAGTTGTCCTTAGTAATGAGAGTAGACAGCTTCTACATATACCTTAATCTGTATTCTGTTAAATACCTAGGACTGGGTAAGCAATAGAAGTTTAGTTTATGGTTCTGGAGGCTGAAAAGTCCAAAAGCATGGTGCCAGCAAGTGCTGCTGTGTCACTACAGCACAGAACATCATGTGGGGACACAGAGAGAGCAGGTACGCTAGGGTCATATCTCTCTTAAAGCCTTTTCTAATTCTAGTATGTTTTCACGTATTGTGAAATCAGTAACTTGAGCTTTGTTGGTATTCTTATATCTGGCTACCTAGGAGTAGGTACAAAGATGGCGTGAAGGGAGGGGGAGAGGGACAGAAAGCACGTTTAACTCAGTAGGAATTTTCCTAAGCAAATAGGAAGCTATAATAGAAGGGTAAAGGTTGATTGGGTTGAGGATGCACATGGACAGTGAATGGTAGACTCTGAGCAAGAAGGGAGTTAGGACAGAGAATGGACTTAGGAGAGCACAGGGTTACTGAGATCTTTGCTTTCCGTCATTTTTATCAGCACCTGCAAATTCTGTTTTACCCTCTGTCTTCCCTTTAAACTGTAACTCCCAGATCCTGCAGGTTTTCTTTGCCTTATTCATCATTTTCCTAGCACAAAGGGCCTTAGTAGGTATATTTTGCCTAATGAATGAATGCAAGCCAAAATAAACCCTTACCACAAGGGTCTAGAATATCTTTTCAATGACGTGACTGAAAGCTGTGTTCTTCAAGATACGACAAGCTATTTCAGTTGTCTGACAGTCAAGGTTTATTTTTGCTCTGTAAAACTCTGGTCTGTTCAGGCAGCTCTCTGGGGCTTCCATTCATGAAATGTATTCATTGCTGCAGGTACTTGGAGTTTAAAAGATCGGTGTGAGCCCATTATGTTCAGAGGGTGGAGGAAGAGCAGCTGCTGCTCTTCTGGAAGCTTGGTTAGTGGTCAGTCGGAAGACTATGCCTAGCCGCCAGATCTATGGAAATGTGGAGAGCATAGGTGGTGAGTGTTGCTGCCTCCGCCATCAAAAGCAACAATAACTGCAAACTCATGTGGAACAACTGAGATGGCCAGAGGATGCAGTTGAATATATCTGTGAGTTTTATTTGGACAGTTGTTAAGATGTTCTTAGATTTTCAGTTTGCCTTTGATAAGTCTTAATATCCATTACTTATCCATATCCATGTTTCTCATGCATTTATCAAACTGCTGCACACACACATATCTATCCTACACTGTAAGCTTCGTAGGCAGAGACCGTGTCCATACTTTTATCCTCCCAGTGCTGGCTAGGGGACATGATATTTTCAGAGTATTTAATTACACTGTACCCCATTTCATTTCTTAGACAGTGGCACAAGCCTATTGTTTGGATGCTATTTAAAGGTTGTTCAGCAAAATTAACTCAGTGGCTTAACATGGTTTGAATAAGCCAATGACCAGTTCTTTTTTTAAACCTGGCAGAAATGTAAATATAGTGACACACTTGTTTCTTCCCAAAACAAGATATCCTACTCTATTTTGGTAGAAAGAGTTAGCCAAAATAGACATCTTTGTAATTGAAGATTATGAAGGCTTTAGACTGTCTGAATACAGTAGGATCCCACTGGCTGTCAATAGCTGTTGTACTGGACAGTGGCCGAAGAAGACTGCTCAAGGTAAGCGTTAGGTTAGAGAAGGGAGATGGTAGGAAACCCCAGAACTGCTGGACAGTGGCAGATGAGTGCTACAAAGCCTTTGCCGCTGGCGCCAAGTTTATCATTCGTAGCATATCCATTAGCATATCTGGTTCATTTTGAGACAGGGTCTCACTGTGTGTCGCAGACTTGCCTTGAAATTGAAATTCCCAGTCTCTAC